CTCATGGAAATTGAAGCTTGAGTTGAATTCTACTTTATGCGAGTCAGTACCATCATTTTTAGATGTAAAAACATAGGTTGTAGATTTCAAGCAAGGAAGCAGAGCACTTAAGTAGCTAAAAATTGGCTATGATCAAAGATATTGTTCCTCTGGTTTCTGGTATCTTAATTTATTTCAACTTCACTTTTACAATAATTCAGCTGTACAACTGAGAACATTAACGTATAACGTCTATCATAAAACTAACTCCCTCTGGATCATAGACTTATATATAGCTTGCTTTCTCGCCTCTCTCAATATGTATCCTTGGGGCACGCCTGTCGATTTTAGCTTCTGCTTTATCGCTGTCGGCTTTTACTCGTTCCCGAGCGAATCCTTTGTCCTTCCATTACATACATCACATTTTTTACACAAATACGCTACATCCCGTCGGCAATTGATCCAATAAAGTCTTTCCTGAACTCGTGCCAGTGTTCTTTTAGTACCAAAATGTCCTCCCAAACGGCTGCAAGGAAACTCCTCAAACACACTTCTAACATGTGATTTCGGCAGCATCACTTGTCAGGCTACATGTACCCTATCGGGGCTCTCCCACTTCCGGTGCTATAGGCCAGTACCCTTTTATAGTTCCACTGTATTTAGCTAGCTATCTCTTGCCAAGTTAGCCATTTTCGGACCACCTTTAAGTCATTGTCTTTCTTCTATCACTTTCTCAGGCTTTCAAGGGTGATTTCTACCTTGTCGCCATCTGGCTTGTTAGTGGTTGCCCAAAGAGTAACTTTATCAACCGCTTCCTCTCGTTCTTTGAGCCTTTTACTGTACCGGCATTATCCTTCTAAACAGGATCGCCCGGAAAGAATGTCTACGTTACTATGGAGTCCTCTTCGCTGCTCTACTTTTTGGTTATTGCTAGAAAGCCGGCTCGATGTGGGTGATTGGCTCGGGACGCATAGTTACTGTAATTATTTCTTGCTGGACTTCTATATGATTTCCCGGTCTTATTCCCTGATTTTCCATTTATAGAATGAGCCACGTTTCTACAGGTATTTTGAAGATGCCCGATTCTTCCGCAATAGAAGCACCTCCAGTTTCTCTCTCAGCGTCTTGTGAGGTTGTATACGATGTATACATCTTGTAGACCATCAATGAATGCCTATATGCCGACTTGTTCTTGGAAATCTTTGGGCGCCTGTGGTTAGGCCAGATGAATCAATCGGCCTCGAATTCTGTAGTTACTCGTTTCAAATGCTGCTGACTATACCTTGTTTTCAAGGCTTGAACGAGATACGTATAACTGAGTTCTTCTTGGGGAAGTAACTGTAAAATGCTTGCTGCCTGTCCTCGCGGCGATACTATCAATGAAGCCGCCATCTCTTCCTCAGTCCAGCCATTGGCTTTAGCTGCAGCTTCAAATTGGATTCGATACGTTTCCCATGTTGTCTGACCGTCAAACGTGGGTGACTTAATAGTCTTGCTAATATGGCTTTGTGAAACTAACGTAACTATTCACAGTACACCATAGAGCTAGGTGCACTGTGAATAGTATCTTTGTGGTAGAACTAGCCCTATGAATCTTTTCTGTATTGTTCTCTTCTGTGTCAGGATCACCGCCTTATATAGCTTGCTTTCACCTTCCCGAACCTTTTCGAATTGTTCAGATGTTTCTTAACGTGGAATGACATTTCTTTCCCCTTCTTCTTTTACTCGAACCTTTACTTATGGCGACTGCAGCACGATGCAGGGTGCTGCGTTACAATATTATAATTTTGAAAGTCTATAAACTTATTTTGATTAACATTCGATTGAAGTTTTTAGAGATAACTGAATCTATGGGGTTTCAAACGTTTTAATGTATTAATGAGCAATATTTTAGACATGAAAAAACTTATTCGTATGAGCGTTTCATAATAGTGTTTGTTGCTATTTGAAATAATTTTGCTCAGATTTATAAATACGAGGGTGGATCAAAAAGTAACCGTGTTAGAAAGGAAGAGGCAAGTCTTACAAAAAAATGTATTTCTATTTTTCAACGTAATCTCCTTCTAGTGCTATATACTTTTCTCAACGTTGCTGCCATTTATTTAACCCCTCCAAAAAATATGATTTCCCGAACTCCGCAAGATACGCTTCAGTCTCAACGATAACCTCCTCGTTAGAGCTGAATTTTTTCCCTCGAGCCACGTTTTCATGTTGGGGAATAGAAAAAAGTTGGATGGAGCCAAGTCGGGCGAGTACGTTCTATTTTTCAAAAAGTTATCAATGCTCTTTACGAAAATAATGTATTTTTGTTCCTCTTTTGTAAAGTGGATACTTTTCATGATATTCGTGCATTTAGAATAAGGTTTACAATAATCGAAATAGAGATGTAAAAATAAGGAAAACTTTTCTAGCAGTATCTCCGAAAGTATCCACGTTAACGAAATGAAACAAGAATACATTATTTACTTGCTCAATATTGCCAAGGTCTAAACTACAACCTACATTAGAATTTGAGCAGTTTCGTCCAAATAGCCGTACGCCCCTGGCAAAAGTAAATAACCCTACACTGCTCAATTTTTTAAAATTAAACAAAAAAATGATTTTTAGGCTTGTTTCTCTTCAAGGATGTAGGGAATAATAATTTAAAAAAATTAGGATCAAAATTTTTGTTTATTTTGACAAAAATATAGTCGTATCAAATCTGATACATTAAGCATTAAAGAATTAAACATGTTACTGATTATGAAATGAGATAAAGTAATTGTTGTTTTTATTTAAACATAGATGTACTTCGCATTTAGAGAATTTAACATGAGAAAATGAAGAAATTTACATCTCTGTCTTGTTTGATCGTATATTGGCCAATGATCCACCGAATCTGTTCGAACGTCTTTGGGTCGTACATGAGAGAAGACTGTAGATTTTTTCTCTTTCCTGTCAGCATTGATTCAACTGATTCCTTGGAAGGCCTGCCTCGCTTTCTACTGCTATTGTCAGCCTTACAAAGGCACTCTGCTATTTCGAGACGAACATGAACCTGAGACATCAACTTCTCTGTTTCGTTCTGTGCCCGTCTATAAAGCAGCCATGTGTTGACAAGCTTCATGTCAATTAGGTGGTAAAAAAGTCTTATGTACCATTTTTTTAATTTTAGCCTAATTTTGTATCTTCCAATAAAGCTGTCCATGACATCCACCCCTCCCATGTGGGTATTATATTCTGGAACCAAGCTGGGACACTCAATTTGTATGTATTTTTTTTTGCTTTCTGTCCCATCGTTTTACCTCAGTTAGAGGCATTTTACCTTTAAATGTTGATAAAAAGGTGACTTGTTTGTTATCTAACCATATTACTGAGGATATATCGACTCCATCAACATTACAAACAAACTCTTCTGAAGTACCTTTGTCTTTTTTTCTAAACTCTACCTCAATTGGTAACTTGCAACTCGGAATCCTTGGACGTCGAACCGTACCCAGCGAGTAAATTCCTCTGCTACCTAAATATGCAAGCAGGGAAACTGATGTGTAAAAGTTGTCAAAATAGACTCTGTAGTTTTGATTGGAAGAAACAATTCTGCATAGCCTTACAACGATGTTGGCACTAAAACCTAAATCGGGCTCGCTATCTAATAGAAATTTTGAATTATTTTCGTTGCCAGTATGTATTTCAAAATTATACGAGAAGCCTTCACTTCCGCATAACACATACAGTTTATAACCCCACTTGTGTGGTTTGGCCGGAAGATATTGTTTTAAATGATGGCGTGCTTTAGTAGCACAAATTTGCTCGTCTACAGAAAGACATTTATTCAAAGGTACTGACTGAAATCTGGCATTTAGAGCGTCTATAACAGGTCTAAGCTTATGAAACTTGTGACATGTATATGCAGATCCCAAGAAACTGTTTTATATCAGCTGCAGATAATGTGGCTGCTTTATTAGGATCTTTTTGGATAGATTAAAGGTTTGATTCATCTGCAATTTTTTGAAATAAATTGTCATCAAAAAAATATTTGAAGAACTGAAATGATGTTTCAAGCTCCTTTATTGATGAAGGCAATGTTAAGTTTTCTCGAAATAATAAAGCTTCTTTACTCTAAACAAGATTTTGCTTACGCCATAAAAGACTCAAATTACCTGCCTTCCGTTGTGTTTCCTCTGGAGTTTGATTTGACGTGGTTGCACTCTGTTGAACTTGGTTTTCCTGCTCAATATCTATCCATCAGGAAAAATTATGGTACCATCTTCAAACTGCAGTGGTACTTCTAGTTCTACGGGCTCAATTTGATCAGAAGCAGACTAAATTTGATCAGGAGCAAAGTCATCCAGATCATCATTTGAATTTACCTCAAAATCATCCTCACTGTCGGATAAGTGGGCTACAGAATGGGCTACAGCATTCTCCAACTTCTTTTCAGTAGTGGTCTTGTACATTTTAGTCGATTTACCATCTAAAAAGTAAAAAAAAATTCTTTGAAATTGAACTAAAGCCTCGTAGCAAATTTAATGAAATTTTTACTGGAGTTTACACGATGTAACCAATATGATACGACCTAATTTTATTACAGAATTTACTGCTTTACAACAACGAAACTTGTAAATAAATAGAAGAAACCAAAAAGTACTTACATTTACGATAGAAAAAGCCGGCAAAAATAATTCTAAAATCGATAAACTAAGAAATATCAAGTTAAAAAGGCGGACTGATTTGCATAGGCAATGTACCCACGTACAACCGAACACAACTAAACAAAATAGCCGGTACAAATCGCCGCATACTGAATTTTCAACTGTATAGACTCATTCAGTAAGGTTGTAGCTAAACTGATACGGTGCGCAGTACAACCAAAAATAACATGTGTGAAGAATATCCCGGTAAAAATATGGTTGTATCAAATTTGATACATTAGGCAGTGTAGGAATAAGAACTTTTTATGCAGTTATGTCTTTTAAATCAATAAAACTATCTGTACTTTAAATTTTGACCTACTCATTGCAGATTTTCATATATATTTTCGATAATACGATTTTTTGTTACAGAATGGTAACGTGTTATGCTCAGATGGTTGTCCAAGCACCGAAGGATGTCACATGCTCGTCGAAGATCGTTGCTGCAAGAAAAAATGTAAAGGTACGTTATAATGTTTGGGCAAGACAAATTAAATCTTCATTCTTCATTAAAAAGTTTACAATGTTGTTAACAATCTTATTTTTTATATTAGGTTGTTTTTACGACAATGTCTATCATCCTAGCGATTCAGAATGGACGAGTCCGAAGGATCCTTGTACTATTTTGAGATGTGAAGCTGCAATCGTTACTGTGTCGCAACTTCGATGTCATACGCCTTGTTCGAATCCCTTGCCTCCTGAGAAGGGAAAGTGTTGTCCTACGTGTCCAGGTAAGTTTCTTGCAAGTTTTGTGAAGCTAAGTAGAGTAAATATGTCTCAACCATTAAGAATGGGACAGAAAACATTTGCAGATTAACTAAAAATAAAACGGTTAAACTAAATAAGCTTGGATAAAATATTACTGGTTTGTTCCGAAATACACGGTGTTTTTTTTTGTGTCATCGGCGTCGACTACTACGGCCATTAGCCTCGTGTTCTGTGTAGGCTTTGTTACTGTTTCCCAGCGCCACTTTAGGAACAGCACTGTTAATTAGAACCCAACAGTGAATGGTCGAGTGGGGAATCCTACCAAGGCATCAGAATTAATTTTAAATAATTAAATTAAATGAAAAAATCCCGGCCAACGGTGGGATTCGAACCTGAGACCTTCCGATCTCAAAGTCATGACTCCAACCACTGAGCCAACCCACCCCCAATACACGGTGTTAAAGTTGAAAATATAAAAATTATTAATGGCTATATTTTTATTATTTTTTAGTATAATTTTACATAATTCGGTAAACATTTTTGTTTTCATAAGATATATAGATATACCAATTAAATAAATTTTGACAGTGGCGTGCGACTTGGATAAGTAACAACTTCATCTCCTGTAAATTTTACGTTACTGTTCAAATACTTATTTGGACTATACTCTTACATTTTTTGTTTTTTAAATAAATCATGTACTTCTGTTGGCCATTCATAAAGTTATTGATTTTCTAGATGTTCATACTCAATAATGGATATTTTTTCATTTTAATTTTGATTTTTAAATTTTTTTATAAAATTATACTGAAAAAACGTTTTTGGTGTCATAAGATACACCTATCAGCAAAAAAATCAGTTAAATAAACCTTTCTTTTAACCGTCTTCTTTTAATTAAGGGATCTTCACTTATTCTGTGTCCCATTTGTAACGGAACATTATGTATAATAGGTAATTGTTTACAAAATTTGCAACGCTAACATTTCAAATTCTAAACAAAAAGTTAGTAGGAAAGCCGGAAAAATAGATACTCGTATATCTTTATTAATTTCTAATATACTATACAGTGCCGGCTTGTAGTTATTTAAAGTGGGTGTTCACTTTCTCCAATAATTTTATCATTTCGAGTCAAAACTCAGGTTCTTTATGATTTCCAATCAATATAAAAATCTCAACTCAGGGTGTTCACTGATCTAAAATATGATAATAACTTAATAAAAAATAAAAAAAATGACCACAATAAATTATTTCTTATCTTTCTCCTCCTCTCTGTTTTCTATGCTTGGTTCTGCTTGTCCTGCTTCTCTCCTATCTGCTACTCTCCCTCTCTGCCAACGTGTTTACCTCTGCTGCTGATCTTCCTCTATATCGTTTTTGTTTTCTGCTCGTTCTTTATTAGTTTGGAAATTAACCTTGTTTCGATTTTTTTTATTTAAATTCAATCTAACATCAATTCAAAAATTCCATCCCATAAATATTTACAACTCAAAACCCTCTTTCCTGACATTTTTATTTTCCTGCTGACAATCAATAAAAATATGTGTTCAAAACAAATTTTTCTTTACTTCCAATTTCTTTTTTGACATAATCATTTGACGTAACCATTTGCCTTCCAGAACCTGTAATATCAATAGAAACATTTCAAAAGACTTTTATATCTTGACCTTAACTTCGCAGATCATAAAAAAAAACATATTTATCGCCCGATGTTGTAAATTATATTAAGCAAGGAAACGTTCCTCATTAAATCTGTAGAATATTGATTATCTCACCCCTGAAGCCAGGCCTGCGTCACACTACGTTATTAACCTCGCTTAAAACCGCAATTTGCAGCAATTACTTAATTTTTCTAAATCCAAATACACTGCTTCGAAATAATTGAATAGTAATTGTGAGCAGGATAATAGACATCATTAAATTTTATACACAACAGCTAATGAACAGTTTGTTATGTTATGGGAGATTTCTACGAGATTGCTTGGATCACGGTTGCCGTGGATATTGCTGCATTCTGTTTTCCTGACGAACAGCTCCGGATTCAAACCTTTTTTTTCTTTAAGATGAATTGCTTTCCGGGTTCACTTAACATATCCGAAAAGAAAACAACTCTGCTCATTGTAACTACGATGTATGTATAATATATTAAAATTGTGCCTTACGGTGAGGGACGGCTATAATAGTCCTAGAGCCAACGTGTAAGTTTGTGACTTATTTTCTTATGGCTAAATTTATTATTAAATTATACTATGATACATGTCCAACAAATTCACAAAAGTGCAACGTTCAGACTGCGGCGCTTAGGTAGCTATAGGAATTACAAGTGGTACGTGCCTCTCAAAAAGTTCGTTATGCACATTCTACGATAAGTGCCCACCTACAAGAAATATTAAACGTCAACTTAGGAACATAGAAAGGAAGTTTGTCGAGAAAATATTGAAAATCATATTGATTATGGACAATTTAGGATAAAAGGACGAATGTTTCATTAATAGCTCATTATATAGGATATTAATTTTAGGACTATTCATCGTGAATTTATAAAGACAAGAGCTTCACAAATTAACGTTGAATTGATTCCTTTCACACACAGCTACTGGATCGAGTTGAGTAAGTTCCTATTCTGAACTTGATCAGAACATGCTTAACTCTTCCCTTCACTCACGTGCCTCTTCCTCTGCTGCATGGTCTACATGTCAATTAACGCCGCTTACCTTCAAGTGGGGAATGAAAGTTGGAGTGGAATCTTCATTTAAAAAGAGCTGGTTGGAGACCTGCACCTCTATTGTTGTCAATATGAATTTTATAGCTACCGATGTGCACATCCCAAGAAGACAAAAATGTTCCTTTTCGCAAGGAAAAGGTTAAAAATGGTATTGAAACCTCCAGAACTCCTAAACGAAAAACTAAATTTTGAAACAAAGGTGGCTAAAAAACTGTGTGATTTAAAAGTGTCTGAGCTACGTCGGGAATTAGAAGAACGTGAACTTAAGACGACAGGGAAGAAATCAGAGCTGGCAGAATGACTTAAAAACGCACTAGAAAATGAAGGTTTTGATCCGGAAACATTTCTATTTTCTGCTATAATTTCTTCCTATATGGAAAGTAAAATGTCTTCTATGAAAACTGATATTTCTTCTGATATTTCTTCATTAGATAGTAACTTTTCTTCCATGGAAACTAACGTTTCTTCTGATATCACTTCTTTAAAAGATGAAATTTCTTCTGATATGTCTTCGCTAAAAAATGAAATCTCCGACTTGGAAAACAAAATGTCTTCTATGAAAAATTAATTTTCGTCTAAGAAAAAAAAGTGTCTTCCGAAATGTCTTCTATGAAAAACGAAATTTCTTCTATAATAATAATACTCTCCCTAATTCACCCCCTTACGAGTACATTTTAACTCCAAAAGCTGAGCTTGTGCGAGGAGAGGGACGGCTATTATTATTATTTGCCGCAGCGCTCCGGGGCGATTTAAATATGATTGATTTGACTTAGAGGTGAGAAAAACCCGTTCCACCATCATCGAACACGGTAACTCATGGTGATTTTATTTTAATAATCTGGATGTCATATCAACAGAAATTAAATTTCTGCTAATATGACATCCATCAAATCCTATAAAAAAACCATGCAAATAAATTCACATGGTCTTCCGTAGGATCTGAAACCGTGTCTCGTTTTACCAGAAAATTAGCTGACAAATGAATGCCGCGCCGTAGACACCTACACCACCGTAGTCGAAGATAAGATTTCTTCCATTGAGAATAAAATAATATCTTCCGTTGAGGAGAAAATAAAAGAGATGGAAAAAAAGACAGAAGAACTGGAACATACATAACCGACCAAGGACAGTTAAATAAAGTGTCATGAGGTGGAGTCGAAGTTAAAATTGGAAGAAGCTGCAAACTCTGCTCGTGTTAAAGCCCCAACCTTCACCGAGACTCTTCAAGAATATGAAGTAGATATTGCCAGATTGGTACGGTTTGCTTACCCATCAGCTCCCGAAAATATTATGGAATGTTTGGCAGTCCAAACATTTGTTGATGGACTCCGTGACTACGAGATGCAGAAAACACTCCGCTTAGCCCGTCACAAAACATTGGTAGATGTCTTGTCTACTGCTCTAGAGTATGAGGCAGCAACGCAGGCTTCTGGAGGATGTAAGACTGCGACTACGGACTGCCACAGGTGAAAATATCAACATCCATGGGGAAATCCAGGTTCAATGGGGAATTGGTACAGAAAAGTTCACTCATACTGTTATTATCATTGAGATTGAAAAAGATGTTATTCGTGGAATGGATGTAATGAACTTACATGGTTTCCAGTTGGACTTTAAGAACAGAGTGATCAAATTTGGCGCCGAAGAGGTATTCCTACATCCATATGGGAGAGTACCGTGCCAGTGGCTGTATAGGAGGATACGGTAGTACCTGGCAGAAGTGAAACCATTATAGTAGCACGGCTTTAAGAAACTATGGAAGAAGGAACTCCTGTCATGATGGAACCTTGGAACCACAATGAAGAGATTGGACGAGGAATTCTGATCGGAAAGGGTTTGGACACGACTGCTAAAGAGATTCCAGTTCGTCTTATAAACGATAATGATTACCCAATTACCATCAAGAAAGAGACCAGAATCGGAATTTGAGCAAATGATTGCAGTTGCTGGTCAATCTCTGAATCTGAGAAAAAAAAAATAAAGGAATTTCTTCGACGATATCGTGACATTTTTGTACCAAAAGGAGGAAAAACATGAAGAACTTCTGTTGTAAAACACAAAATTGACACTGGTGACGCCAGGCCGATTCGTCAATCAGCTCGAAGATTACCAAAGGCCAAGAGAGAGGAAGCTGAAAGGATTGTTCAAGAAATGAAGGAAGACAGGGCGATAGAACTTTCTACCAGCTCATGGGTCTCTCCGGTAGTCCTGGTTCAGAAAAAGGATGGAACTACGAAGTTCTGTATGGATTACCGTCAGTTGAACAATTTTTCCAAGAAAGACAGTTACCCTCTACCTTGT